AGTACCATTACAAATACCAGTCTAAAAATCTACTCAAGTAAAGGTAAAAAGTAGCTAGTTTAAAATTTACTCTGAGTAAAAATTACTTGGTTACATTTAAACAGTGGGAGGGAGGCCAAAATGGGATAGGCCAAGGGTGTCAAACTCAGTTCCTGGAGGGCCACAGCCCTGCACAGCTTAGATATAACCATAATTAAACATCTGATCCAGCCAATCTAATCATTTAGGCTTATTTGAAAACTACATGGTATGTGTGTTGGAGCAGGGTTGAAACTAAACTCTGCAGGGCTGCGGCCCTCCAGGAACTGAGTTTGACGCCCCTGGGATAGGCCTATAAATCTCAAACTAGTTGTTTTTAATTAAAGGAATCAGTTATTCAGAAGAATAAGACATTTGGGCTGTTACCAGGCAAATTAAATAAGTATCAACAAAATTTATCTTTGCAATGCAGAGGAAACACAGAAGCTTCAACTGAAGTGGCATTTAGATGTATTTACATACTGTTTAATGCAGGACATGAATGCATTTAATCTGAAGTTACAAATGCAGAAATAACGTTTTGATATATAAGACATAAAGTGTTGAATACTCAAGATAGTTTAAATGTGAAATTAAAACCGCCAGCAGGTGGCAGCAAGTCACTGTTAATAAGTGAGTCGTTCCAATTGAACCGAATCATTCAAACGGTTGATTCATTCAGGAACTAAATAGTGGTGGGCAGAGCGAGGCTTCATGAAACACTGAAACAGTCGAAGCAAATGTGCCGAGGCTTCGAAACAATTCGACACCCGTCTCTACTGTGAGACCTAGTGCTCATTTTCAAGTATTGGTCTGAAACAACATTGACAGCGAATCAGTTAAGCGAATTGACGAATTATAACGTATATGTTGTGCTTAGCAAAGAGTGGTTAGTGTGCACGACTGTCATATTCAAAACCTGTCACTTTAAGTTCGAATCTGGGGTGAACCATAAGTATAATTATAAAAAATATTTGAAAGTTGTGGTTTTATTGTTCTGTTCTTGTAATGTGTTGTAACATCTCTCTGACAACTGAATGAACTCTTTGTGAATATGTTGTTTTGGTCATGAAAAAATTAACATTAATAAAATACATCAAGCTACAACGCCTGGCATTTTTTACATATTATTCTGCTGCATTAACTCCACTTTTATACTTTGCGGGAATTAGGTTAAGACAGAAGTGCGATTGTGTGGTTTGTTCCTGACTCTGTAGATCAAAAGCAGATTAGGGTCTCAAAACACTTGTGAAATGCACCGATGCTTTGAATCGCTCTCGGTTACTCACGTAACCTCGGTTCCCTGAGATGAGGGAATGAGACATTGCTATGGGAATTACCCTTTCCTCCAAATACTACTGAAGCCTTATTGAATCATGCCAGTGAAACTGGCTAATGGCGTTCAAGCGCGTGAAATATGAGGGACTCCCACTCTATATAAAGCAGCGCTTGTACGTCATCTATTCAGAATCTTGATTGAAGCAACTTGGCATTCTAAGATCCTGAGCTAGGTGACACGGCAATAAGAGCAATGTCTCGTTCCCTCATCTCAGGGAACCGAGGTTATGTGAGTAACCGAGAGCGATCCCTTTCGATTCAGTCACTCTACATTGCTATGGGAACGTATAAAATCCCGCCGTGTCACAGCGATGGAGCCTGGCTCGACTAAGTATGTCAAGTTTCACATATGGAACCGTAATGAGAGTGCTCCAGTGCTCTGGTGCTCAAATAAGCAGAGTATGATGGTGATCATGTCCTAAAAGACGTGATGAACAATATCATAACAATGTGATAAGCTGATAGGGACAGCATTGAATTAGTGGTACGTCAACACAGGGGTGTATACGACCTAGTCGAAACCACTGAGGCAAGCAGCTCAGATCATTACTGAGGCTGAGTAGGCGCATGCGCTGCTCGCACTCACAGCACATGTGAGGCAAGCGATGACACATCTAGGTTATAAAACCTCATGAAAGTGCTGGGGGATGACCAGCCTGCCGCCATGCAAATGTCCTGAATAGATATGCCATTTGCCCAGGCCCACGAGGACGCGAGTCCACGGGTTGAGTGGGCCCGAACCCCTATAGGACATTTCACACCCTTAGAGCCATGATAAGCCAAAGCAAAAGTGTGACAGCCTTTGCTTGGACACAGGCAGGCCTTTTGTGCGCTCTCCAAAGCATACAAATAGCTGGTCCGAGAGCCTGAACTGTCTAGAGCGCTCAATATAAATGTGCACCGCACGTACAGGGCACAGCAAATGTGTATTAAGCGACTCCGGCCCGGCCAGTGTTTCGGGACGGAAAGCAGATAGTGTTATGACCTGCGCTTTAAATGGAGTCGAAAGCACTTTAGGCACATAACCCTTCCTAGGCTTTAAGTTGAGTCTGCAATCACCTGGCCCGAACTCAATACACGAGTCGTCAACTGACAGCGCCTGCAGATCCCCAACTCGCTTAACAGAGGCCAGTGCGAGCAGGAGTGCTGTCTTGAGAGAGAGCACACGCAAGCTCGCTGATTGTATGGGCTCGAACTGCCTTTTTTTTTGGCTCTTGAAGGAAGGCAAGAATTATTAGTATTGGGTAGTTGAATGGGTCTTCGCCCCGCGACCCGCACCAATTTGTGAAAACTCAACAATTTTTGTGTGCGTAAAGATGTCTAGTGGAAGGAGCCCTAGCCTCAGAGATAGTGTTCAACACGCGCTGAGGAAGTTATAGGCAAGCTCAATCGAGCAGTCAGACATGAAGGCTCCATGACTCTGGATTTGGATGCTATATCGTTAACTGTGCTTGAGAGAGGAGGTCTCTCTTCAGTTGGGTAGTCCACAGGGGGGCTTCCAGCATCTCCCAGCAAGCAATTTTGCGTTTAAAAGACGTCTGTTAGACGTCTACATATAGCCTAGACGTCTAGGCTAAAACGAGGCTAAATTTGGTCTTCCCGCGCACTGCGCTGAGGAGGAGCGGGAACACGCAGGAGGGTTCGCGCCGGTGCGCTTTGTTAGGAAATGGCTAATAGACTTCGACTGTTTCTGCGCTTCAATGAAGCGCTCCGTGAACTCTACTGCTGCTCCGAAGAGACCTGAGGGATTCACGGGAGCGCCCAGAAGGGCCGTTTTTTTCCAAGTCCTTTAAGGGGCCATTCACATATCGCGTTTTTTGTGCGCTCAAGTACGTTATTTCAAATTTTTCCAGGCGCGTCCGCGCCGCATCGAGATTTTCAGAATGCCACAAGCGCACCGCGGGTCATGTGACAAGAACCAACCAATCAGCTTCATCCTTTCCCGTAACAACATTGAAAGTTCAGCCAAGATGAAGGAACAGCTGATCATAGCTGTACAGGGATAGCCATTTTTAAATAAATTTAGTAGCAGAGCTACTGCAAACGATTTTTAGTGCTGCAAATCCATTTATCCTTTGCTGAAACTTCCGAGTCTTCATGGAGAGCGCAGGTCATGGTTGCTTAGCAACGACAGACGCCTCCGGAGTGCAAGCGCCCAAACGCTTTGGAGAAAAAGCAGAAAGCGGCGCGCCTAGCGTTTCCCACGCGTTTTTAGGCGCGACATGTGAATGGCCCCTAACTCGGTCAGAGTAAGCCACAGGTGATGATCTAACACCACAAGATTCCCCATGTTGTGGCCGATCGTTCGAGCTGTCACCTTCGTCGCTCTGAGGGCCAGATCTGTGGTGTGTCGGAGCTCTTTTAACACTTTAGGGTCCGGCCCATCCTCATCCAGAGACTTGAACAGCTTGGCCTGATACACCTGGAGTATCGCCATCACGTACAGTGCTGAAGCTGCTTGACCCGTCGCGGAGAAAGCCTTGCCGGTGAAGTTTGCAGTGGCGCGGCAAGGTTTAGAGGGGAGAGACGCGTTTCTCGCTCTCCAGTTCACCGCGGCTGAAGGACAGCGACGGCTTCTTCCATGGGAGGGAGTTTAAGATACCCCACTTGGTCAGTGCCGTCCACAGAAGACAGGAGGAAGGATCCCGGGTTGTGCACTCGACTGGTGAGCGGCGCGTTCCAGGGACCGGGCCTCCACGGGGTGTCCTTTCGGCCGTGATCCGACTGGAGGTACCACTCATCCAGATGGCTTCTGGCCGGCTCGGCAGGAGGCGCCGGCTATCTCAGTCAGTGCTCCAGTTCCTCCAACAGTCACTGAACTGAGGAAACACTTCCGACTCAGTCCGAAGACCGATGAGCACTTGAATGAAGGAGTGAAATGTAAGTTGTTATGGTTTCTCTTTGTTATGTAAAAAGGTAAGCTAATAAAAACAAGTTTATTCACTTTATATGCTTTAGACATGCAAAAATTCCTTGTCTCACATCATTATTGGGTGCTTTAACAATATAATTGCATATATGTTACGTCACTGCATGATTACGCAAACAAACTAGTGAACTGAATCAGTTAATTGAAACGAACTGTCCGAAAGAACCAGTTCACAGAAAAGAACCGTATTTTCCTGTTGCCTGAGACTCTGGATTACAGGCAATATTGTAAATAAAGTTCAGTTTCTTGCACAGACCGATAATTTTGCTTCATAAGACCTCGATATATTGTCAGGAGCTATGGGTATTAGTTTAGAATTCCTTGATATGCTTTTTTATGCTCAAAGACGGGCAGCCACTAATTTGCATTTTATGAATCACCAAGAACCACGTTTTTTTCAGCTAAAAATCTTCTTTACTGTTCAACTGAAAAAAAAAACACATGTACACCTTGGATGGCCTGAGGGTGAGTAAATTAACAGCAAATTTTAATTTTTGGGTGAACTATCCCTTTAAGAAAAAAAAGACATGACATGAAATCTTTCACATGAGAGTGTGGCTAGTCATGTGTTAATGACCGGCCACATATTTACTATGTCAACATAACAAATATCTTTTATTTCAAAGGATCATAGAAATTATGATTTCTCACAATATGTGATTTTGTCCCCAAGAAGTCAGTATTGATTTCCTTAACTGAAATGTTGTTCTTTCAGATGCCCGCCTGGTTGGAGGTTCTCGTTGTTCTGGGAGGTTAGAGATACTTCATGATCAGACGTGGATGTCAGTCTGTGCCGCTGCCTTTGACCAGCAGGATGCAGAGGTTGTGTGTAGAGAGCTGGACTGTGGGGCTCCTGTACAGGTGCTGGGAGCAGTTGCTTTTAGCAAAGGAGACACTCAGATGTGGACTCAAGAGATTCAGTGCAGAGGAAATGAATCTCAGATTCACCTCTGTCCAACATCACCATCACATGAAAACAGTTGTTCTCATAACAGTCATGTTGGACTGGCATGTGCAGGTGTGATCTTTTTTATTATTATTTTTTATTATTTATTTATTTTAATAAAATGAAATCAAATGTAATATTCCCTAAACCTAGACTAAACATCACATAGTTTTTTTTCTTTTTGTGTTATACTTTTTTCTCATTTTTTACCTTTGTCCTTTTGGTTTTTTTGATGCCCTTTCAATTTATTAAATAGGCAATTTTAGAGTGAGGTTGGTTGGTGGTCACAGTCGCTGTGCTGGTAGACTGGAGGTTCTTTATAGAGGTCAGTGGGGAACAATGTGTGATCTTGGTTGGGATATGGCTGATGCTGCAGTGGTGTGTAGAGAACTGGACTGTGGAGAACCTGTAGATGCTCTGGGTGGTGCACACTTTGGACAAGGATCAGGACCAATCTGGACACATCCCAAGTTATGTACTGGATCAGAACTTACACTGAAGATTTGTGCATCGGTAGAATGGGGGTTTCATGACTGTGATCATACTAAGGATGCAGGAGTCATCTGCTCAGGTATCTTCCCCAAACTTTTTTTTTATTTTCTTATTTCACTTACATTGCATTGAAGAAAGTGCCCGGATGTTCTTTAATTAAACATTCTCTTTTGTTAAAAAAATTATGAAATTCATATGAATTTGAATTATGGGTGTGCGATATGCATTGTTTTTAAAACTATTATTTACACCAGGCATTTTCAAACCTGTCCTGAAGGACCCCCAGCCCTGCATATTTTGTATGTCTCCCTCATCTAACACACCTGATTCCACTCATCAACTTGTTAGAGACTGCAAGAACTAAATTGGGTGTGTCTCATAAGGGAGACATACAAAATGTGCAGGGCAGGGTGTCCTCCAGAACAGGTTTGAAAACCACTGGAGTGCAACTGGTCAAAAGAATACGATTTTGTAATGTTTTAGAAAGTCTTATGCTAATAAGGCTGCATTTATCTGCTGAAAAATACAGTAAAAACAGTAATATTGTGAAATAGTATTACAATTTAAAATAACTGTTTTACATTTTCATATATTTTAAAGGGGTCATATGATGCTGCTAAAAAGAACATTATTTTGTGTATTTGGTGTAAAGAAATGAGTTTATGCGGTTTAAAGTTCAAAAAACACATTATTTTCCACATACTGTACATTATTGTTTCTCCTCTTGATTTTTACAAAGCTCATCGGTCTGAAAAGCGAGGTGTGCTCTGATTGGCCAGCTATCCAGTGCGTTGTGATTGGCTGAATACCTCAAGCGTGTGACAGAAATGTTACGCCCCTCATCATACTGTGATGCCGTGTCCCGGCCGGAGCGATGAGACAAAAACAATAAAAACCCATTACAAACGAGGCATTTGTTGCATCCAGTGGGGACATAATTACAGATTATAATGATTTATACTGTCTTTTTACGCATTGCGTTGCATCGCGGCATTAAACATAAAACCATGTCTGCATTTGTGATCGGAGAAATTACAAACAAGCGCTACTCTACACTGCTCAAAACTCGCGTTTGAATCATCAGTGGCAAATCCTTTAAATGAAAACATACTTACAGACTGTGAGTCAGAACAGCTGGCATTGTAGTCTACTCTTCCAGGATCAGGAAACAGTCCTCCATAAAATGTGCTGCACACAAATGTATTTTTGGGTTGAACTGTTCTGGAACAGTGTTGTAAATACAACTTAACCACTGATTTCTAGTCGTGTCCTCTTTTGGAAGACCAAACCAAGTAGTTTCACTTTCACAACGAAACACACGGCGGCCTAGAGTGAGCGGAAGCGGGCGGGCTTGAGAACGACGCATCTTTGCAACTTTACAGATCTTCTTTATGCACCAAGAGCTTGTAACACTCCAAAGAGAAAGGAAAAATTTAAATCGCATCATATGACCCCTTTAGAATGTTTTATTTTTCTATGATGGCAAAGCTGAATTTTCAAGTCATTACTGAATTTTCAAGTCATTACTCTAGTCTTCAGTGTCACATGAATATCAATGTTGAAAACAGCTGTGCTGCTTAATATTTTGTGCAAATCATGATACAGGACTATTTAAATGTTTTGAGTAAGAAAGATTTAAAAACAAAGGAAATGTATATTTTTATTCAGCAAGGAAGCAATAAAATTGATCAAATGTGACTAATGTCATTTATAATGTTTTTAAGGTTTTATATTTCAAATACATGCTGTTCTTTTAAACTTTTTATTCATAAAAATGTCTTGAAATATTTATAACATATTTGTATGATATATGTACACAATATCACTTGATTAGGAGTGTTTATAAGAATTTTATATAAAAGATGACATTTAATAAGGTTAGAAAAATTGCACTTATAAAAACAAAAAATACCCCTGGAAATCAATTTAAAATGAGCTAGTACAAGAACATGCTTATACTGTAAGTACAATATAAGACTTTTACAAACACATTTTTGAAGGATGCATATTAGTGTCTACTTATCATTATCAACAAAATCCCATCCAGTATTGCACATCTAAAGTTTGGATTGACAGTGAGTAAATTATGACATTTTTGGGTTTTTTTGTTTACTTATGTATTTTTATTGTATTTATTTATTTATTTTGGTGTACTAATCCTTTAAATTAACTCATAAATAATTTAATTATTTTACGCTAATTGCTTTACTTAATAATAAATGGTGCTTTGTGGCTGACCAATAATGACAAGGTTTACAAATTGAGATAAAGTTTATGAAAACATTGTCACATTTGTTTTTAAAATGTCTTTCTCATATTACTTCAGATGTCAAGCTTGCTGGAAACACCAGTTGCTCTGGGAGGTTAGAGATCCTTCATAATCAGACGTGGATGTCAGTGTGTGATGCTGCCTTTGACCAGCAGGATGCAGAGGTTGTGTGTAGAGAGCTGGACTGTGGGGCTCCTGTACAGATGCTGGGAGCAGCTGCTTTTGACAAAGGAGACGCTCAGATGTGGACACAAGAGATTCAGTGCAGAGGAAATGAATCTCAGATTCACCTCTGTCCAACATCTCCATTGCACAAACACAATTGTTCTCATGATAATTACCAAAGGCTACTGTGTGCTGGTAAGAATTAAAATAAAATAAAATTTAGAATATTATTTCTGTCATGACAGCTCTCTGAGAGATTGGCATGGTAATAATGTTAATGTATTTGGTCTTGGCGGAATAGATCTGCTATGCTGCAGCTGCGGCAGGGCAAGGACAGACTGCCAATACACCCACAGACAAGCTTCTGTGAGCATGTAGGATATACTGCTGCACATATAACATACATGAAATTACCCCCAACAAAGCAGTAGGGGAAAATAAATAGAGAATTACAAGCCAATATATGCTGCTGAGTGTAAGAAAACAAGCTGCTGCATCAGCAGACATGCTTGTATCCACACACATGGAATGAACGTAAAGGGATGGGGCAGGACCAAACACCCCCCAAACAAGCTGTTCTACTGCCAAGACATACAGTGCTGCTTGAAAGTTTGTGAACCCTTTGCAATTTTCTATATTTCTGCATAAATATGATCCAAAACATCTTCAGATTTTCATCAGAGAACCCAATCAAACAAATCAGACTATTTTTTTGTCATTTATTTATTGAGAAAAATTATCCATTGTTGCATATCTGGTCATTGCAAAAGTATGTGAATCTTTGCTTTCAGTATCTGGTCTGACCCCATTTTGCAGCTATAACTTGTAACTGTTGATCTGTCCTTCACAACATCTTTTAGGAGTTTTAGCCCATTCCTCAGTACAGAAATATTCAACTCTGTGATGTTGGCGGGTTTCCTCCTATGAACTGCTTGCTTCAGCTCATTCCAAAAAATTTAAATTGGATTAAGGTCCACACTTTGATTCGGCCATTCCAAAACATTAACTTTGTCCTCCTTTAACCATTCTTTGGTAAAACGACTTGTATGCTTGGGTCGTTGTTTTGCTGCACAATCCACTTTCTCTTGAGACTCAGTTTCGGACAGATATCCTGACATTTTTCTTTGAAATGTGCTGGTATAATTCATGTTTTCATCGATGGAAAGTCGTCCTGGCTCAGATGCAGCAAAACGGGCCCAAACCATGATACTACCACCACCATGTTTCACAGATGGGATAAGGTTCTTATGCTGGAATGCAGAGTGTTCTTTTCTCTAAACATAACGCTTCTCATGTAAAACAAAAAGTTATATTTTGGTCCACAAAACATTTCTCCAATAGTCCTCTGGCTTGTCCACATGATCTTTAGCAAACTGCAGACGGGCAGTAATGTTCTTTTTGGAGATCAGTGGCTTTCTCCTTGCAACTCCTGATGATGGACTCATTAACATTAGCCAGTGTGAGAAAGGCCTTTGGTTACTTAGAAGTTGTCCTGGGGTCATTTGCAACCTTGCAGACTATTACACGTCTTGCTTTTGGAGTGATCTTTGTTGGTTCGACCCGCCTGGGGAGGGTAACAGTGGTCTTGAATTTCTTCCATTTGTACATAATCTGTCTGACTGTGGAATTGTGGAGTCCAAACTCTTTAGAGATGGTTTTGTAACCTTTTCCAGCCTGATGAGCAACAGTAACTCTTTTTCTGAGGTCCTCAGAGATCTCCTTTGTGCGAAAATCTGATGATGTTTTGGGTCATATTTATGCAGAAGTATTGAAAATTGTGAAGGGTTCACAAACTTTCAAGCAGCACTGTATGTACTAATGCCACTCCAAAGAGACACAAGAAATGCATGTTTAACTATCTGTTTGTGACTGGGCTACCACACCAAATGACTTAACTCCAGTCAGAACGTGCACTGTGTTAACAAACAGATGTGTGTTGCAAGCTGATACAGATAACAGAAAACCACAGCAACCACCTGTGGCCAGACATCATAATTTTAAGTCATTTGATAATTGTCATTGACATAACCCTTTATCCTCTTATTTGTATAGTGAAGCCATTAGGAGCAATAAATAAAAGACAGGAGCGTGACTTTGACAATGTGCCCAGCCTGTGCCATCTAGAGTTTCATGACATAACTTTGCATTTAAATAAACTTCATGTCTCTCTCTCCATTTTAATATCACTTAGATAAAAAGAGTGTGAGGTTAGTTGGTGGTAACAGTCGCTGT